CCCAACAACTCACATTCATCACTCTCAATCAAATCTAAGAAAATCTTTAGGTCACAAATCACTCTCTCTACTTTTATTTTAGTCTTTCATTTATTTTTATACTATTATTAAGTCTCGAGATCCCTCAAGTCTCTACTCTCACCTTTTGATCATTATATTTTTTTATTTTCACGTTCTTGAATTTGCTTTTATAATAAAAGAAGTATTTGCATCTTTCAGAAAGAACAAAACAATGTCAAAGGGTAAAGAACCTTTTAATTACGGTAGTATCAGTGGTGTTAACTATGGAGCGAAGCTAGCTCCTCCGGCCAAGAAACTAAAAGCATTTGGCGAGCTCTTAGGGGACGATTGGGATGATGGTGTAAACGACAATGTTCGTAAGATAACAGTAGCGTACGATGAATTAGGTGTGAAATCCATCAAGTTTGAGTACACATACGAAACGAATATTGTAGTCGGAGACGATCACGGGTACATGGCAAAAGATGACAAGAAAAAAGAGGTTTCTGCTCTATTGTCGAATTAAATAACCCACTAACGTTACATATATCCATAATTTTGTTTTCTTTCTGTTTTGTAGTTCGAGCTCAATTTTAAAAAAGAATACATCATATCCGTTGAAGGAAACTACGGTAAAAAGTTACCACCTTCTGGACCCGTGCGTGATACGATAGAAGCATTAAGAAACGAGTATATGACGATGCTTAAGTTCGAGACAAACATTGCAACATATACGGTGCCGCCGGAAATCGATCATAAACGCGGTTATCAGTATGTGGTCACACCGTTCAAGTTAATATGGGAAGGTCACAAGATTGTTGGCTTCTATGGCAAGTCTACAACTAGGATTCAACGAATTGGTGTTTATGTCAAGCCAATCGGTGATGCTTAAGCTTTCTATCTTTGCCTTGGTAGAATAATAAAGAGGAAAAAAATTATTTATTATGTTTAGACTCTCCTTCGTTTGTTATCTTCGTGGTTATACGTTATTTCTACTATATATATGCTTCTAGTACCTCTCCTTCATATTATTGTCTTATGGATATGTTTACAATAAAGTTATCAAATAATCTTTAAAAATTGTTTTAGTGGTAAATTAGATCACAGTAGTAAAAGAAAATAACTTTATTATTTCAGTGGATTTGATTAATTTAAGTATTATCATTTAGATTTCTAATCCATAAACATAACAGAAGCCTTTCTGATTTTGTGAAAATACTACATGTAATGAGGGAATTATGTACATTAGATGGTAAAAATTTGTACGTGTAGCTACTAACTAGGATAAATAATTTTAAAATATACATTTTGGAAAGTTACATTATGAGAGATTATGCACCTTCAAACTATTTGATCAAAACAGAAGAGGAATTAATTAATTAGTCAAATAGTTTTCTACTTTCGGGACTGGAGAAAAATATAATCTAACAAAAAGTCATTTACTATGTCCATGCATATTCGATTTCCCAACGTCACAAGTGTACGAGGAACGAATAGATCCCACTTGTAAAATCGGTTCCATTGTTAGATTTTTTTTTCCTAATGTGAGAATTGATCATTCATTATTTTTTTAATTTTTTTTTCTGAAAATTATTGATCATTCATTTTCATATTTTATTTCAAAAGAATATCTGTAAACAATTTTTTATTTATTAAAATAGATGATCCATGTAAAACTATAACTTCATAGTATGGGTGATGTACTTTATGACGGACAATTATAATTTCTTTACTATAATGAATGATGTACTTTACTTTTTATGTTTGTTAATTGAAGAGTTGTAAGTTTAGAGATCATTCTGTTTGTAGCAAGTAGTTCACCACTTCATCTTTGCAAGAGTTATTTCTACGCTCCTTCACATTGTAATCAATTTGACCATTCATATTTTAATTTTTTGGGTTGAAATCATTGGGTTTTTTTTTTGCAGAAAAATTTTAAGTTAAAGTCACTGTTGTGACTTGTGACACAGTTTAACCATAGATGTACGTCACAAAGTTGAAACTATCGAGCAAGTTTCATAAAAGTATTTCTTATGACATGACTATTTTCTATAAATGAAAATGCTCTCTAGATTTATATGAAAAATTAATTGCGTATCTAATTATAAATTAGTGTAAATGTAATATTGGAGCAAGAGAAGCAAATAAGTCAAGAAAAACAAATGACAGTGGAACGCATTCTTTGTATACTAATCGTGACGTGGTGTATGGTTAATGAGTCAAAAGACTTTTTTCTGTTTTTACTTCACAATGTCAAAAAGTGAAACAGATGAGAGCTCTTTGGTTGCAAAAATTACTTTTTTCTGATAAAGTATTACAATAATTAGTTATTCTCTCTTTTCTTGTTTTGACAAATTGTTTGTAATGGTAATTCATTTCAGCATGCTTTCATTTATCCAAGAAAAACAATGTAGCTAGAATAAATGATTTAAAAATATACATTTTGGACAGTGAAATTGTGAGAAATTATGTAACATCTCAAACTATTTTTTCAAAATAGAAGAGAAAATAATGTATTAATTTTACGGTAATAAAAAATGTTTAGTCAAATTGTGTGAAAACGTTACACTTTCAATAACAACCAAATAGTTTTCTTCTTTTGAGACTGGAGAAAATGAGATCAAAACATTTGTATTTATATAATTTTGA